CCCCAAAACCCCAAAACCCCAAAACCCCAAAACCCCAAAACCCCTTGTATTGAAATTTGATTTGTAGATTAAGATTTACTTAATTTAGTAGGAAATATTTTTGATGATGTTGAAGATGCAATCCCTAATGTATCATTCCTTCATTTTTGGTTGTTTAAATGCTCTCTAAAGTCACCTTCCATTTCAATTTCATTTAAAGGTTCTTTTTCTCTATCCAAAGTTTGCTATCCCTCTGGAGTGTGAGACAAAAATCTCGGTCCTAATGTACTTATCAAAATTGCACCTATTGGTGCGCAAACTACAATAGATAATATTCCAACTGTCTGTATCCTGTTTCCAAATTCCATCATCTCAATATTCCTCAGTGCTTTAGAATCATTGAATATTACTGAACTAAGTGCTGCTTATACTGTCGCTTTAGGCATCCAGGAGATAGCAATAAAAGCTCTTTCCTTCGTAGTATATTTCCCAGAGGGGAAAGCTGACAATATTGTTACAACAATTAACCTTATTAAAACTCCACTCACTATAATTATGATTCCCAATCCCACATCACTTTTTTGAATCTGACTAAAATTGAAAGATGCGCCTACTGAGCCAAAGAATATTGGCTAAATAAACCACCAAGCTATTCCAATTTCTTTGTGAGGTTTTTCCTCACCCCAAACTCTATAAGAGCAATATCCAAAAGTCAAACTTGCAATAAATTTTGAGTTAGCAAAACCGGTCTCTTCTCCAACCACAACGAAAAATATGGCACAAAAGATACAATACCACATTTTTAAGTTGACAGTCAACGGTTTATGCTCCATTTTGTTAAAGACAATGCCTACCATTGCCAAGCAAAATCCTGCAATGAAACCAATTAGATTCTCAAAGAATAAGAATACAATATATTAGCTCAAAGATTTTCCAGTTGTCATACTGTGATGACTGTATGCAATCGTTTTACAAATACCAAAACATAATATGCAAATGATATTATCAAAAGTTCCAGCTGCGATTAATGTACTTATCACTCCTTTTTCTTTACCGTAACCTTTTTCTAGAAGGTTCATTAAACCTGGAACCATTACTGATGGACTAATACAAGAGAGGATATAGGCTAAACAAAAGCACATAATTAATGGTAATTCTAATAGTTTATATGCTAAGGCTGCTATCGTCATCGCCTCAAGTTATTATGGTACAAAAGAAAGAAATAACACTAATAGTCCCTTCCCTTGAAAGGTGACTGAGAGGCCACCACGAATAAGTAGCAAAGATAGACTTATACTTCTTATATATTGTGACCAATGAGTAGGGTAAGCATGCATAAATTCTCCTAAGTAGTTTCTAGCAACACATCCAAATAAAATCATCATTATTAAAGATGGTATCTGTATTATTGTGATGAATGGTTTGAATCTGTATTGATTAATGCATAAAACTTTGGGGAAGGTAAATCCGAAAATAAGCCCATTTATTGCTCCTGCAATTATTGATATTCCAATGATAATCAGGAGAGGTGTTAGCATTTCTACTGTCGAATGAACTGTAAACATAATCAAAAATCAATAATGCTGTGTATAATCTTATTAAATATAATTAAATGTTATTAATGTATTATCACATTATTATTCGTATAAGCATTCATGGGGTTTTGGGGTTTTGGGGTTTTGGGGTTTTGGGG